GAGGAGAATCAACTAAAGTCCTGAGTTCACCACTGGATGCTAGCCTCTCAAGCTTAAACCCAACAACCTAGTATTGCTTGAGTAGTGGTTGCTCAGGATTGAGAGTTTCAGAAGGATCGATCTTGCGGCCTGCGGTAGTGCATGAGCAGGTTTTGGGAGTTCCTCACGTCTTGATGGAGGGCTCGTGATACTTGCTTGCTCTCCGGGCTTTAGGGCTCAGGTACCCTAAAAAGGTCGACACCTTTAATGTAAAGCCTTTAATAGCTACCATTCGATGTTATTCCTAAGGGCTCCCAATATGACTATGCATTATCTTTTTTATGCGCCAATCCCCCTGTTCAAGTCATTCAGGCCATGCTGTTGCCTATATTACACCTAAGACCTCAAAGGAGGCGAACCCACAACCCCAAGCCGGAAACGATACGACCTCTGAACCCCAAGCTCGAATCGAAACGAACCCCAAGCCCTCAACCCAAAATAAAAGGCTCCCAAGCCCTGCAAATACACTAAACCCCTGAACACCAAACTCTGAAACCAACGGAAACCCGTCCCACAAACTCGACGCCTTCCTGCCATGCTTACGGCTACCTTCAACTACCGAATTCTTATGATAAGCCTTAGTATGGAGTTCATAGGAACCCTATAAAAGACGTGGTTTTGGTGGTTAAGGTAGTTATCTGTATCCTAAGCGTAGCCCTTATTTCGGCAATGGGAAAACTATGGGATTCTTTAAGTTTTTTGGGCTTAGTTTAGTGTTTACGCTTTCGGATTGTGTACTTTAGAGTTTAGGGTTCAGGGTTCAGGTTTTGAGGTTTAGCTTTCAAGAGTTCTGGGTTTAAGGTTGGGGGTTAGCCCCAAAACCAAAACCCCTAAACCCTAAACCCTAGAATCGTAAACCGTAAACCCACAACCCGAAACCCTCAACCCTAAACCCAACACCCTAAACTCCGTATAGTTTCAATCCCGAGGACCTGGAGGTAGGTCCAGACGACCCAAGCCGGCGACTGGTCCCGATCTTCAATTCACTGGTCGTCTTCAAGGCAGGGAGCTTTTTAACCATAGCACTAATTGTAGAGAGTAGTAGTAGTAGTAGTAGTAGTAGTAGTAGTAGTAGTAGTAGTAGTAGTAGTAGTAGTAGTAGTAGTAGTAGTAGTAGTAGTAGTAGTAGTAGTAGTAGTAGTAGTAGTAGTAGTAGTAGTAGTAGTAGTAGTAGTAGTAGTAGTAGTAGTAGTAGTAGTAGTAGTAGTAGTAGTAGTAGTAGTCTTAGTAGTAGTAGTAGTAGTAGTAGTAGTAGTAGTAGTAGTAGTAGTAGTAGTAGTAGTAGTAGTAGTAGTAGTAGTAGTAGTAGAAGTGGTAGTAGTGGTAGTAGTAGTAGTAGTAGTGCACTAAATGGTTGGAGCGGAACTAGGCATAGGATATTATGACCATGGTAAGGATCCCAAGCAAGGAATAGATCTACTAATAGTTCCGGCTTTTTGTCATGCGGATCCCTAGTAAGGAATAGAATTGCTGCTGGTTCCCGCTTTTCTTCACTTAGTGACTTCGTTCTCGGCTGATCAGCAGTATTCGGCTTTGGGCTTAAGTTTGGCTTTCAGGATCGCGGGTGCGATTAAAGGTTCAGGATTTACGGATTTGGGGTTTGGGGTTTGGGCACTTCAACAGTTTTGAGGCTTCAGGGTTTTGGTGTGTCACCTTTATACTAGTACTTTTAATAGCTTGTGCTACTGCTATTAGCGACTATTGCTATTACCATTTACCTCTTCCTATTTTCTTTGGTTATTATTCCTAGTGTTATCACTATCACGAGCACTATCACTGTCACTTCTTTTTAGGATTACGATGACATTTACAATTGCTACTACTATCACCAAAGCCCCTCAACTGCGAGCATTATTCCACAAGCCGCAAAGACTGAGCCAAGCAGAATTCCCTAATATGATTTCTTTAAAAAGTCCTTGAAAAGGTAGGTTACGTGGGATTAAGGTAAACCCTAACCCAGGTGCCCCATTGGCATGCTGTCACGGCCGTCACTGCAAATCGGCCCCGGCACCGGGGCTGCAGGTTCGGTGTGCTCGTGACGGGGTTTGGTGGATTGCCCCGGGTCAGGTCAGTGTTGCCACTTTGAGTACCCTCGTTACTGCTGCGGATGACAGCATTCAGCCGGTTACTGCCTCTTTTGGCCCTGGCCGGTTCGAAGATTTCGAAATGCAATAGAATTAGAGGGTTCAGGGAGGTGCAGGGTTTAGGGAAGCGCGCTGACTTCCTTTTTTGCACAAAGCACAACGGTATTGCTCAAGGCTACTTGCGCTAAATTTCGATTCAAGCTCTCAGAACCTCTGAGCCTGCATGCGAAACCCCAAAGCCGCGAAAGCAAAGATGAACTCGTGATCCCGAGAAAGTATAGATTGAGTTGTTAGCTTCCCAAGTATTCGAAGAACACGAGCTGATGTGGCTCTAAAAGAAGGGCATTGACACTCAGAGTAGGCTTTGGCACATCTTATACTCATATTCCCACGAAGCACACGCCGCACACGTTTACGCCGTCGCTCTCAAGTACGGTCACACAGAGCATTGCAGCATGCTTGAGTTACTTGGTCTTCAGTTGACCTGCAGCCTTAAGCCCGTAGCCTGTGCTCTAAACTCTACAGCTATAGTCTCCTTAGCAATTGTTATTATGGTCTAAGGGGGTATAGACATGAGGTACTCCATCTTCGGGTGGTGGCACCAGAAAGGAAAGCGCTACGACTTGAACACCTCCGCAGAAGGTGACAAGGTCAAGAAGCCGAAGGCTCAAGAGAGGGCGATGCACTAAGGGGGTATAGGGTTACTATAGTCTCCTTAGGAATTTTGGTTTATTTTTGTTCATTTAAAACACGAGAATATTAAACACATCTTTTTGATTATGGTTCCAAGCGGGCAAAAATGTAGTGTTAAGGGCGGGGCATGTTATACTATAACTGTAATAAGGCACCCCTACAAGGGTATCGGTAATTATTTAGGCCCCTATATGAATTGTAAGACGTAGTACGAAGGGCAAACACGAGTTCTACGAGTGGCTGAGGATAAAGTGTTATGTAGACTGATAGCCGCAACCGAATCCCGAGCATCTGTCCCTGTAGGATGACCTTATAATCGGAGAAGTCTCCAAATCCCGAACCGCTTCATGTAAGATCTAACCGCAGGTACAGCTTGAGCTGAGGAACCACGGGTAGTCTGTCTGAGTATGAGCCAGGGAATCCTTCAAACCTTAGGATGCAGCAGCGGCCATCAGCGAGTGTCAGTGTCTGTGGGAAGGTCATTAAGCGACGAAAGAAGAAGCCGATGCAGGGAGCAGTGAGTGCTGCCTAGAAAAAGCGTTGGGGTGAAGGGTTAGGGTTATTAATCAACGCTTCAGGACCGATAATACTTGAGTGGTAACTCATCACGGAGTTGCTGCTGGTGATAAAGTGTTTGTCGGCGCTGGAAAGATTAGCGGCAACAGACGTGACCTGGTAGTGGTGATAATTTTGCTGCTTTGCCGCGACTGCTGTTTATAATCATGCCAAGTAGAACCGAGCAACATGATGAGCATAGTGCCGGTTCTAGCCGTGAGGGAATAGGAGCAGCGGCACTAATTCACGATGGCCGCAGGAATGGTAATCAAATCCCACTTGAACCTAAACCCCCTAAACCCTAATCCCTAAACCCTAAACCGCACTAGCAAGCGCAATTTCGAATGCTGGCAACAGACAGAGCCTCAAAGGCCCCAGGTATCTTAGGGGTACTTAGAAACAATTTTGTAATTCTTGGTTATTATAATCTTTAAGAAACAGCTGAAAACATAATTTTGGCTAGGGTTCTAAGTTCAGTATAGGTATGAGCTAATATGGAAGAAGGCTATGGTTGATGCAGTGCTTGTGATGCTTGTGATGCTTGTGATACTTGTGGAAGTAGCAGTCTTATCTTTTCTGCAACAGTAGAATCATACAAACACTATGGCCACTATGGGAGGAAGAAGGGCAGCAGTAATCGACAGTATCGGCAGCAACACTGCGATTGGAGTACAGTGATAGCTGATAGCTGCTGAGCTAGTCATACTGATAGTGTTGTCAGGCTCCAAGCAGTAGGAAATTCCTTTAATTAACCTACTATTACCATGCCTCAGACCAAGATCCGGGCCTAAACCTCTAAACCCCTAAACCCTAAGCCCTATACCCTAAACCCCTAAACCCTTAAACCCCTAAACCCCTAAACCCTTAAACCCCCAAATCCCAAAACCCCGAAAACCTAAACCCGTCGGAAGAAGGAGAGCTTTGAGAAGATTGAGTCCTAGGATAATAATTCGGAAAGATGGAGGTTTCGAAACAAGAGAAGATGGGGGCAATCTAGAGGTTCATTTACCGTCCCCTCGCTGCCAGTAGCCCAAAACCTTAAGCCTACACCCCAAACCATCCTCAAGCCCAAGTTTCAACATGTTGAGTCTGCAGACTGGGCTCTAAGCAATCGCAAGTCTACTCCCAGCCCAGCCCTCGACCACGAAATCCTACAGCTGCCGGCCGAACACGGCCCCCTGAGGGGGGGTCATCCCAGCCGCTGGCATCGCATTAAACTACGGTGCAGACTGACCAGCTTCACGAAGAGCAAGAAATCACACCGGAGTAGTTGCAGTCGTCGTTGTCGTCGTCGTGCTAGTACTGCTGCTAGTAGTAGTCGTCGTCGTCGTCGTAGTGGCAATAGAAGCAGTAGCTGTAACGGCAAGATCTTCTTATGTCGTGGACACGGCCAGCGGGAATCCGAGCTCCATCCCGTCAGAGTTCGTTCGAAGCCGAGTGTCCAAACTGGCTGGGGTTTTGATTGCATTTTGTTTAGGGTTTAGGGGTGAGGGGTTTAGGCCTGGGGGGTTTAGGGTTTGGGGGTAAAGCGGTGTAGGTGTAAGGGGCTTAGGATTTAGGGTTTTGGGTTGATTTAGGGGTCTTTGATTCGCAGTTCAACGGACACGATTTTTGTTTTTGGCTAAGGCCATGCCTGGCGAAGGCAAGAACGATAAGGTGGATCATGCCGCCCTGGATGTCTTGCGCCTTATCTGGATATGACTTTTTTCGTAAAGGGAACTCCAGAAAGTTGGAATATGGTTTCAGGGTAGGATACCCTATAATTTACCATAGAAGGGTTAGGATAATGATATTCCAACTTTCTGGCTTCTACTGTAAGTCTGAGCGAACGATAGAAGCACCACACCTTGACTATTCTTGCCCTGCCTGCTGTATATAGAGGTCGGAGTAGTCGTTATATAACCATCTGCCCTTGTCGTCCTCGTATAGTTTCACAGGAACATCACCTAAATACCCTCTTCAAGCCAGTAAGGTCGCTATATTACACAGTACCAGACCAGAGGGTTTCGGACGCATGTCGGGCAGAGTTTGGGTTAGGTTACCGGTACATTAGATGGAGATATCGTATCTGTTTCTTTTACTTACAATATCTTATCACAATAATGTAAGTGTATGACTTAGTAGCCAGCTCCCTATGTGAGGTGACCCGTAACCGCTTCAAAAGACGAGCATAACCCTAAACCCTAAACCCTAAACCCTAAACCGGGGCCAACACCCCAACAATTGCCCTCAACCCTGAACCCAGACCATTGGAGGTCTTTGCGTAGGGCCTCCAGAGCTGTACTAACAGGGGACTTAGTACGGGCTCTTAAAGGGCTCCTTAAAGGGATCTATAGGGTTCCTTAAAGGGGTCTATGGGGTTTAGGGTTTAGGGCCTACTTGGAAGGGCAGGGGACTTACTAAGTAGGCTATAAGTAGAGTTATAAGTACCCTAAATGGAGTTACCCCAATTATAACCCTACTTATAACCTACTTACTAAGTCCCCTGCCCTCGAAGTATCCCCTGAATCACCTCTAAACCTGAGATCCTGTCCCTGAACCTCCAAAGCGACCTGGGACGCTCAACCCTCATAATCCCCCCCCTGCCAGGTTCGATGACGACACCTCTGTTCACAGCATTGAAGGCAGGAGTGTCCCATTCGATTAGGACTTCGGGTTTAGCGTAGGGCTTGAGCTTCAGAGGCTTAAACGCTGGACATGTTTAAGGGTTTGGGGCCGTTTGAGGTCCATTTCGAGGAGAGCTTTCCGCTCCCATCAGACATGCCTTAAATCGATGCCCTGAGCCTGCAGGGCAACGCTTTTTCTTATGATATATTATATTCTACCAAAGTTATGAGATGAAACTCCAAGGGATACCAGTTCAATTTTCTCAGCTCCCTCGCAGCTGCAACCTGCCATTCCCGTCGCTGTTTTGGGTTTAGGGTTCAGAGGTTTAGGGGTTTAGGGTTTAGGGTTCCGTAAACCCTAAACCCTAAATCATTTTGCCCTACAGGTCTTGCTGTTGTTGAAAGATCGAACCACCGATCGCCGATGGTCTACGACCTAAGACCTCGCCCCAATGTTGGGTTTAGGGGTTAGGGGTTTAGGGTTTAAGGGTTAGGGTTGAAGGGTTTAGGGTTTGGGATTTGCGGTCTTAGGGTTCAGGGAATGTAGCCGGTGAGTTGGGCGGCTAGTTGCGGGAGAGGGTTTGGCTAGTGCTTGAAACAGTAGTAGTGATTGCACCTGTAATAGTTATGGTAATTGTAATATTACGTGGAGAGGAGTCTTGCGCTATCTACAAGAAGCGAATCCCTGCAACCCCAACCTGATCCAGCTGGATGCTGTTCTTATCTTGAAGCGCACAAAGCACATGAGCCAGCAAAGCAGCAGCGGTAGCTGTCTGCCGTCGGTGTCGCAGTCGTCGTCGTAGAAGAAGAAAGGGGTACAAGTTGAAGTAGACTAAAACTTTGAGGTAGAAGTGAAGTGTACCTGTACGCATAGCAAATTATTGTTGACATTATTAATAGTAGCAGCAGGAATAGTAGTAAGTGGCGGAGGAAGAGGAGTAGTGGTAGTGGTACTGGTAGTGGCGATGGTAGTGGTCGTGGTATTGGTGTCAAAAGTCAACAAGTGGTGCCTCATTACCGGTTACCCATTCCCACAGGCAACAGCAAGAGCAGCGGCCAAATCAAGCAACGATTCAGCCCCCCATATCCCCAACACATGGAGGTAACAAAACAAACACCGCTAAAACTCCTAAACACCAAGCCCAAAACCATAAACCCTGAACCTTATATATATATATATATATATATATATATATATACCTTATACAAGACTGCCCCCGTCCCTTTGTTGTTTGAAGGCCCAGGCACGCCGCAGAGTTCCTTGTCCCAGCCGCCTGCCCAGTCTTATCTTTGGATTTTGAAGGGTTCAGAAGCGTTTACGAACCTATACATACTATTTTGGGGGTTCCTTATTATATGTATAGAAATTACCATTTTGGGGGGTTCCTTATTATATTTATAGTAATTACCATTTTGGGTGTTCCTTACAATATTTGTAGAAATTGCAGCAAAGTGGGCCCCCAAACCCTATTCCAATTATCAAGGCCCCTACTTGGAGGATCATCGGACTTAGTAAGTAGGGTTATAAGTACCTTAATTGGGCTTATAAGTAGTTATAAGTATAGTTACCCTAATTATAACCCTAGTTACTAAGTCCCATGATCCTTTAAGTACATAGGTTCCCAGGGCACGGACTGGGCTTTCGGATCGCACCCAGACAAAAACGCTCAAAGGGGTGCCCCTGGTTCTAACGGTTGATGATATAAATCCTGCATTACCTTAAGGACCCTAAACTATGGGAATTATGGTATACTCCTTATTATGGGTAATGCAGGATTTATTTCATCAACCAAAGCATTGGATCTTTGGAAGTTCAGGTTTGGGGATTGAGTACTGGACCGTACAAACCCACACAACACCAGCCAACATATCACCAAAGCCTTGTAAATGACTTCACGGCCTGGAAACCCCAGAAAGCTGGGGTGTGGGACTCTTGAACGCTTGGAAGCATTGAAGTTGAAGAGCGGAGAGGTCGGGGCTGTAGGCTGAATGTGCAGTTCAGAGTTTAGGGTTAAGGCTTAAGGGCTTACTTAGAGGATCATGGGGCATAGTAAGTGGGGCGAGTACCTCAGTTAGGGCTATGCACAGATATGCCGATAGTTACCACACGTCGAACCCTACTCACTAAGTCCTGATCCTTTAAGAAGGGTTGGGGGTTCAGGGCCCTAAGCACTCAGCCCTCAAGCCCCGACAGGCAAGGGTATAGGGTTTAGGGTTTGCAACCTCAAGCACGGACTTATGCAAATCTCAACCTTCAGGGTTTAGGCGGATTGGGCTTGGGGTTCAGTTCTCAAGGCGCAGCCCTGAAATCTGAACATGAACCCCGCGCCAGACTACAGAACCACGGATTGAGACAACATAGTAAAGCCGTGTGCTGGCACGCGCATTTTAGCAAGACTGACGGGACTTACGATTGAACTTAGCTTTCAATTGCTGCTATCGGTGCTGCTTGGAGGTTCAGTTTCATGCTACTCATAATACTATATAGCTAGCCCAGGTAACTACCTGAAGATTTCCAGACTCTTAAACCCCGAACCCGGAAAGCGTAACCCTTTAACCCCTCGACCCCGAACATCAGCGCTCTAGAACCTCACCCCACACCGAACAGCATTTGGAGGAGGATTGGCAGCACACTGCAAGACACTTAAAAGTTGGGAGGGGCCTGGGCTGGGTTTAGGGTTTAGGGTTTAGGGTTTAGAGTTCAGGGTTTAGAGTTCAGGGTTTAGGGTTTAGAGTTCAGGGTTTAGGGTTTAGGGTTTAGGGTTCAGGGTTTAGGGTTTAGGGTTGTGAGCAAGGTTCCCATACTTAAACACGAAGACCACAAGCTCGAAGCTCTAAGCCGAAGTAGAAGCCATGTAATCTTCGGGAAGCCTTGCAGAATCCCATCGAAACCTTTTTCGAAATCTTATACACATCCCCTGAAAACTTTAAACAACCTAAACCCCCCGGCCGAAATACCCGAGGCCCTAGCACCAAACCCCAAACCTTACCCAGAGACTCCAATATCCCTTAATTAAGGAATATTCCTTAAATTATAGCAGGATCCCTAATATGATTTAAGGAATATATTCCTTAATTAAGGGATATTGGAGTCTCTGGGTACACCCTGAATCCTGGACCCCTCCCTGGTGCTTACGGCGTGAACACTTGCAGCAAGTCTGCGAGGGCTTCTGGCTCTGCTACGACCAGATTCCGGTTACAAGCACTGCGTTGCCTTGGTTCCAAGGGTGGAAGGAGGGACCCTTAACAAACACCCCTATAGGTATATACCCTTAATATAGCTAGTATATCCCATTATATAGCCCATTATAGGGTGGAGGTCCCCATTAAGGGTCCCTCCTTTTCCCCTTTGACTGGTCACTGGCAAGGCTGTATCTCGGGCCAAGTACGTTATCTTCGCTGAGGACTTGGTCGTTCCTTCGCTGTTCTGGCCATCGGTCAGCTGGCCAGCACTCAGAGGCTCCCACCCTTCGGGACTGTTCCCAGAGACTCCAATATCCCTTAATTCAGGAATAGTCCTTAAATCATATGAGGGATCCTACTATAATTTATGGAATATTCTTTAGTTAAGGGATATTGGGCTCTCTGGGTTGTCCTTGGTGTGCGGCCTGTCTGGTGACTGTCAGGCATGCTCTCTGCGAGTGCCCTGGTACCGCGCTAGCCCGTGCTTCACTGTTGGGTGACTGGTGGCGGCACATGTCTGGCCAGGCATTTCGGGAGTTTTTGTTTCGCCTTGATGAAGATGCGGAGCGACTGCAAGCTTTGGGTACTGCCCCCACTCAGTATCAGTTGGATAATATTCATAAATAATATAGGTATATTAGGTCCTTAATAGTAGCCTTATTATAGACTGTTACTGTATGGGAGCAGTACCCAATGCAAGCTTGTATATGTTTCGTCTATTGAACTCTTGCTCCAACTGTTCTTGCATAGATCGGGAGCCGAAGGCTTGTGAAAGACCAAGTCCTTCCGGCTCGCTCCGGTCTATGCTCCCTCAGTGGTCGTCGTGGCGGGAGCAAGCCAGTCCGAAATGTGAAATGTGAAGTAGGAAATGGGGGAATGCATCCCTACAGTAGTCCCTTTTTCATCCCCAAACCGTTCCCATAACCCATTCCCACATTCCCTACTAAGAACCAGACAGACCTGTCTAGCCCCAAACTCGAATCCCCTAGCCCAAAGTTCTTTCTCCCAACAAATTTCTAAACCCCGAATCCATCGCCTTGAGCAAGATGCAACCTCAAGCCCTACGCAATAGGAGGTTAATAGCTCCTGTATTTTGTGGCAAAACGCCTACAGTTGTAGTTTTGTGGATCCCAGGAAAGAAGTGGACCCTAAACAAAACCTAAACCCCAAACCTTAAACTTTTCACCCCTAGCCCGAAGCACTAAACCATGGGCCCTAAACTTTACCCCTAGATCTTAAATCCCGAAGCACTTAGTCCGTAAACCCCTAACCCAGGAAGATGCAACCTGGGGTCCATCAATCACTGCTCGCGCTGAAATCCCACCTCAGTGTGAAGGAGGACATGCCCAAGGCACCTTTTCGGGTGTCTTTTCAGGGTTTTGGCTTAGGGTTTAGGTTTCAGGGTTTTTAGGGCTTAAGGTTACATGGGCTTCGGGTTTAGGGCTTTAGGTATTCGGAGTTTGGGGGCTTGGTCTACCATCTTACGAAGGGTCGTGTACCCAAAGCTTGGCTGTTGTCGCAGAGAGCCCTTCCAGAACCAGGGATCATTGTTTCAAGCATACATATACATACATATGTATATATATATATATATATATATATATATATTATACATATACATATGTATATAATATGTGTGTATAATGTGTATGTATAATATGTATACATATATTTATATATATATATACATATATAGTTACTATGTACATGTATTTATAAATATACATATACACATTTCTATACAAATACGGGCAATACGGACAAATATAGATATGCAATGTCTATAGCGACTCCGCAGTCTGCCCCCGTCCAGGTGGTGCATGTGCCTTTGGAGGATCACTACACGCGAACGTCCGATGCTTAGTGCATCATACCTAAACCGCCCAAACTAGGTAAAATAATGGCCCAATACCTATAAAAAGGCTAGTATTCCACCTACTTTTTGGGGTCCAGGTAGTGTCGCAGAGGGCAAAAACCTTGCCCAAACAGGAGACCTCGCTAAGCCAAACACAAAAAACAGCCCTAAGCTCGAAATTCCAAACACGTTGAACCCTGATCCCCAACTCTGCCCCCGCTGAAACCCCTGATGAAGCCGTGTAATCCTTAAACCTAACCTCTGCCAGAAATCCTAAATGCCCTAAACCCAAAGCCATAACCCACCTAAATAATAACCCAAAAACCTGAACCCCCCGGAACCCTGAGCCTCAAATCCTTTTCCTTTGACGAAGGCCGGCCTCAACCCGAATTTTGCTCAGCAAGCCCTTTTCTCTGAACCCTAAGATGCGCCTTGACCATGAAGAGCAGAAACCAGGAAGGCAAGATCATGGTCACCCTGATGCCCTAAAGCCAAAGCATAGTGCATCCCGGCATTTATCATCCTCCCATTCCATGCTCCAAACTTCTGGAGTTTACAGAATTGTCTTCAATATAAGTAAAGTATACTATACCGCCGAATAGAAGTATAGTATACTATACCTCAAAACACTATTCCCGCTTTCTAAGGCCACTACAATACTGCCTTAACGATTCCTGAAAGAACCGAACTGAGGTCCGATCTTGGCTCCGGCAGGTTTGCCCAGGTTGCATGTGTGATCCACAAGGACCCTGTCTTCATTTTGTAGGGGATTAGGGCGAAGATATTTAGTATTGAGGGATCAGTGGATTGCGAATCAGGGTGTCGGTTGTAAGGATTGGGTTTTAGGATTCTCTTTTCGGCCTGTTTGGGGGCTGGGGGGGGGAAGGCTGATAGGTGACGTCCTCTTGCACTTCTGTTGCCTATGCTTCAAACATGATTCGCCGGGTGTCTTTATTCTGCACTCTGTCCGTCACATCGCATTTGGGGAGCGAACGATGCTTTGCAGTCCGCTCTAATGTAGGAACTGGATTAATTCAAGAACATCAGGCTGTATGGCTATCGTATAGGGGCTTCAATACTTGAAACAGGTGCACTTCAGGTTTCACAAGGGCAAGCAAAGAATCAGCGCCTGGGGCACGTACAGGAGTCTGGTCTAGTCTGGTGTAATGCAGTGTAGTGCAGTATAGTATAGTGTAGTGCAGTACAGTACAGTACAGAACAATAAGTCGATCTCTATATGCGAGTTGTTCGGAGTGTCCTTCGCAGTAAGATGAGCCTATGCGGGTTCTGCACCATAAGCCAGGACTCGAAGAGAAAGTATGCTGCAAAGATCATGGGGAAAGACCATGATGGAGACGTAGAATTGGCAATGATCCGCCGGCGCCATGGCTATTCAATGCTGGCACATGGTTTTGTGTTGTGTATGATTCGCAGAATGTCGATCGAACATTGTTTGTAGCAGTAAAAAACCGCAGTGGCAACAACAGTCACAGGCCGACAGGTTCCGGTAGGAGCAGCAGCTGCATAGATTAGTCCTTAGCCCCCTTACTGAGACTATGTTTGCTTTATGTGACTACATACATACGTACGTACATACATACATCCATACACCCATACATGCGTGCATACATACAAGCATACATGCATGCATACATGCCTACATGTATATGTATCCGTACACATAGAACTGTCACAGCTTGAATACATGCCAGCTCAATAATGTACGCAGACATGTGTGCATATGCGGCATGTGTATATATATATATATGTAGTACATACATGCATACATACAAACCCTGCATAACTGTCTACACACACAGCTTTAAATAAATAAATAATATATATATATATATATATATATGTATATGTGTTTATATTCATATTTACACATACATACGTTCGGGTAAATATATGTCTATATGCATGTGCTTTACCTTTGCCGTACATTTGAGCGGAGACCAACAGTGCAGCCCCGACAATCCCAAAGCCCTCGTAATGTAGGGACCTGATTAAGAAATCCTTGGCCTATAACCCCAACAGAGTAGGATTCATATACGGAGCCATAATAAAGGCCCAGGGTTTCTTAGTCAGGTTCTTACATTATTGTTTCATGGTATCGGCCAGATAGGGCAACAGACTAGATGCCCTAAACCCTCAGCCCCACCCTCTAAGCAATAAACTCTAGATCCCCGAACCCTGAACCCTAGGTTTCCTAGACTTGGGTTTTTGGGCCGTCTGGGTTTGCGGACTTCGCAGTTCAGGTTTTAGACCTTAAGCCCTGGAACCTAAGCCCTAAACCCTAAACCGAATTCTGTAGTATAGGGCTTAATGGTCCTTGAGCCCTAAACCTAAACGCTTGCAAGTATTTTCGTATAGGGTCTTACGACTACTGAACGGACTGAATTCTTTAGCATCAGGTCTAGTGACTACTGAACCTTATACCAGATTTCAGAAATCGCGCTAACGGGCCCCAAATCCTTGCAAGCTCTGACAAGAAACTAAACCAAAAGTCACAGATGCATCCTGAAACCTAAACCTCCGAACCCAAGACACACGCAAAACTTGGCCCAAAGCCTGAAGCTGCAAACCCTAAACCCTAACAAACCTTAAAAGCCCTAAACCAGGGGCAAGCCATGAGCCGTGCGCAGGCTATGAGAATCCCCAAAGCCCTAAACCCTATAGATCCCTTAAAGGAACCCATAGATCCCTGAAAGGAACCCCTTGGTGTACCTTAGGTAAGGGATATGGGAGTTTCCGAAAATAGGGGACCCTAATATAGCACCCTAAATAGTAGGATCCTTATTATAAGGACCCCAAATAAGGTACCCCTAATTTTCGGAAACTCCTAAACCCTAAACCCTTTATAGAACCCTTATAGGATCCCTTTAAGGAACCCTATAAGAGTCTTTGTGCAGGCTAGATCACCAGCACATCCTCAGACTCCACGAGCCTGGTCAGAGCATGGGCTCTTTTTCGCCCTTTTCTTGGAAGCCTCCGGGTTTAGGGTTTAGGGTTTAGGGTTTAGGGTTGAGGGTGTAGCGATTTAGGGTTTAGGGTTTAGGGTTTAGGGTTTAGGGTCAGGGTTGAGGGTGTAGCGATTCAGGGTTCAGGTTTAAGGGTTTAGGGTCAGGGTTGAGGGTTTAGGTGTTTAGAGGCTTAGGGTTTAGGGCTTTTAGGGTTTAGGGTCTAGGGTTAAAGTTGAGGGTTTAGAGCTTTAGGGTTTAGGGTTTTTGGGGGTTTAGGGAAGCCCCAAGGTCCCCCGAGCCACAAGCAGCGTAAGAGTTCCAGGGTCCCGGGCTTGGTGTTTGGGGTTTGGGGTTCAGGGGTTTAGGGTTTAGCCTTAAACCCCTAAACCCCTAAAACCCCTAAACCACAAAACCCCCTCAAACCCCTAAACCCCTCAACCCCTCAGTCTTCAGGGCAGGGTTCAGGGGATCTTTGGTCTGGGCTTTGGGGGTTGGGATTTGGGGATACGGTATGGGGTGTAGCGTTCAGGGTTGAACTGGTAAAATCCTAAACCCTGAGCTTTTCGATCAGAAAACCGCGAACCCTACACAAACAGCAAACCCCAAGCCGTGGATTTATGCTCCCGCCCTGAGGAAACGTGCTTGGATTCGGGGCAGATGTACCTGATTCTGGATCTCTGCACAGGCTTCGGGGTTTGGGGTTTAGGGAAGTTGAGAGTTTAGGGTTTCAGTTTGGGGTGTGTGGTTTAGGGTCTTTCTACGGAAGGCCTGAATGGTTTCTGACTTAACAGTCCCTACTAGAACCTTTATTTTCGGCCAAAACCCTAGATCGGTTCGGTGCACGATAGGCGTTTGCAGAAAGTTTCGAGGAAGGGAGAAAATGTCGGATTACGGATTAATGTCCAGGGTCCAAGTTCGGGATTCGAGGGTTTAGGGGTTAAGGTTTTCGGATTTAGGGGAGAAGGGAGTGTGGTCTGTCGGACACGGCTGTGTCCAGCCCCTACACTTTGAGGATAGATCGAAACAAGCAAACAAGCATGTGCTTTGCTTCCACAGCCGCAGCAGAAAACAGAGGTTTCGCCCAAAGCTCCTGCCAAAAGGCCGGCGTCTCGACAATCAAAGACTGTTTTCATTCATGCTACACCCTGAAACCCTCAAGCATAAATCCTAAATCCCTCAACCCCAAACCCCTGATTCCCGCAATCCCTAAGCCCTAAACCCCGGATTATTGCAACCCTAAATCCCTAAACCCTAAACCCCTGATTCCCGCAACCCTAAATCCCTAAACCCAAAATCCCTGAACCCCCAAACCCTCAACCATCAAACTCCCAGCACATGTCCGACCCCTCAAGCCAGGCGGAGATCTGTTCCAGTGGATGCAGGAGCGTGCCTTATCCTTTAGTCTCCTTAGGATTTGTTTTATTCTATTTTTTGTTCATATAAAACACAAGAAAATTTTAAGTTTCTATTTCTGTTCACATAGAACCCAAGAGAATATTATGCATGTTTTGTATTCTGGGTTTAGGGTAGTTATTAGTTATAGTATCTGCTGCCGCAAACCCATTTCTGGGAAGCCGCGTATGGTTGAGGTCTAAGCCAGTCTAAGCCCTCGTGTACGTATAGTGGTCCAAAGAATAAACCCTCACCTCCCCAAACTCCAAACCCCAAAATCCTGGGAAGATTACAGTCGAAAATTTTGGCTTCTGCATCTCAGGTGAAGAGTCGTACTTCGGCCAGTCTATCTACATGCCGCCTTCCGCCACTCGGTTGCTTTACCTTGGGTTTAGGGCTTACGGTGCTTGTAGGGTTTAGGCACGCGGAGGCTTTAGGGCTTTACAGTGTTTAGGGTCTTGTAGGGTTTAGGGTTTAGGTTGCATACAGCCTATAAACCCTAAACCCCAAACCCTGAACTCACCCGCAAGCAGACCTGGAGATGTGTCAAGCGCGCTTCCAAAGTTGCCATTGCTTCCCAGACTAAGAGCTGGTGGGTTCTTTCGTTGCAGACCAAAGCCAAGCAGGGTTGAGGGTTTGGGGTTTCGGGTTTAGGCTTTCGGGTTTGGGGTATTTTGGCTTTGAGGGTTTGAGGTCTCGGGGTCAGGGCTCAGGGCTTAGGGTTTACATGGGTGCCCAAGCAGTCTCCTCGTGCTTTACCTTCGTTTGCTTTCTGTCGCGAAACTCCGGCAAGGGCAGGCGGCGGGAGGAGAGGGGCGTGAATCAGAGCATTCCGGGGTTCAGGGATTCATAGAGCCATAGGGTTTCATTTTATGTAATAGGGTCGTCTAGGGCTTTAGACCTCAATTACAGGAGTTAGGGTCTTTGTAGGACTTAGGATTCAGGGCTTGTCCAGTCTTAGCAGTTGCCGTGGCATCAGGCTTTGCAACGAAGCTGTCCATGGTAATTGCCCCTTTACCGTTTGGGGTCCCTGGGAATGGTGCAACTTCGTTTGTGTGCCAAGCGGGCATATTGAATTATTGGGACAGAAATGAACGGCGTGAACCGAAGAGTCATCGAACGGAGATGTGGGGCTGCTCAGGCATGCAGGCACAGCAACATCGCCAATAATTACTCGAATACCTGCGTCTGATAACGGAGCATTCGTATTGTCCGCCTCTTATGCTGGCACAATGCAGGGAGGTCATCATCATAACCAACATGAGCATGATCATCACCGTCATCAACATCGTCAGCATGAGCATCATTAGCACCATCATCACCATCATCACCAGCATCATCAACATCATCAGCATCATCATCATCGTAATCGTCTCCATCGTCATCGAATCGTATACTCACGATGTTGCTTTGGGCACATGTGTTCATGCTTTTGGGCCGGACGAAGTCAGTCGCACCCTAAACCGTAAGACCTTCCCATGACAACGTAAATAATCCTGGCCGCAAGCATTGCAAGTAGGTCATAAAGGCCGACCCAGAGTAACGCACCTACTAATTTCCGGATTGAAACTGCTATCAATCTCTATAACCCCCAAACCCTGGAAGACATGCTATAAATGCTACACCCCTAAAGTAAACACCAAGCTTCAAGAATCAGGCGCAGGTCTTGGCGCAGTGCATATGGCAGCTGCTCAGTGCTGTTGTGCAGCTCAGACGCCAATCAGATTTCAGGGTTTAGGGTTTCGAGTTCCGGGTTTACATCTTGTGGGCTTTGTGGCGTTTAGGACTCTGGCCTCGAAGGCATGCTGTGTAGCTGGCATGGGGTCTTGAATTACGAATCTTCTTCATTAGGGCTCCCTACTCTAAAGCAGACCAAAACCCTAATCCAACCCTAAGGGCCCCTGCATTCGTGTTTGGAGGGTTGCTCCAAATCCCCGCAGCCCTGTTATTAGTGTTCGGGGTTACCAATAGTGTTCCTTAGGGTTCGTCCTGTGAAGGCTCCTGCATTCGCGTTTGGGGGGGTTGTTCCGAAACCCTACAACCCTACCATATACTACCCTTATAGCTCCCTTATAGTACCCCTTCAAAGGACCGGGGTTTGGGTTTTAGGATTTGGGGTTCAGGGTTTTGGTTTTTGGGTTTGGTCAGGGTTTAGGGTTTTAGGGTTTGGGGTTCAGGGTTTAGGGTTTTTTCGGCTCAAGCGGACCCAACAGAAACTCTGTCAATGGGTACGCAGCAGAGCACATTAGAGAAACACTTCGTACATCCCGTTGCATTGCGCCGTAGCTCTTACGACCCCAGGTATCTGCACCACCACAAGATCGCCCATCGCGACATCAAGCCAGACAATTTGCTGCTGCAAAGCCCTTTGGATTGACGGTATCGAATCTCTGAAGCGCTTGACACTTCTGTCATGAGATTTCAGGTTCAGGGTGCACTTCTGTTACTGTTCGGGATATTTCTTTTCGTAAAGGCAACGGCGGTGTTGCAGCAGCAGCAGCAGCAGGAGGCTACTACTACTACTACTACTACTACTACTACTACTACTACTACTACCGCTACTACTACTACTACTACTACTACTACTACTACTACTACTACTACTACTACTACTACTACTACTACTACTACTACTACTACCTTCACTGCCTTCGCCGTCCTTTCAGTTTTGAATTATTTTCCGTTTATTTTTCAAGAAAGATGATTTTCCACGGTGCTTCCAAGAACAGCCCAGTTGCCGGATGTTTAGGGCCGTGTCCCAGGGAGCCTCCCGCCCATTGATTCAGGAATAACCCTCCGCCCATTGATTCAGGAATAACCTTAGCTTGTAAGGGCCCAGAAACAAACAATCTAATTCTGGGGTAGTCTATACCAGACTATGCGACATTATGCTAAACTCTACAATACCATACTGTACTGTACTATACTACACTGTGCTGTACTATACTATGCTATGCTATATCATGCCAAACTGTACAATGCCATACTATACTATAATCTCCATGCTATACTGTACTTTAGCATGCTATGCTGTACTGTACCGGACTATACTATACTATACACTATACTATAGTAATACTTTTTCTAGCACTGTACTATACTACCTAGTACTATACTATACTATACTCGACCATACGGTACTATCCTATACACTATACTATACTAAACAAGTACTAATACTATTGCCTAATACTAACTTTAACATTGATACTTATACTAGCGCCATACTATACTACCTAACACTATACTATGCTATGCTATTCCATGCCATACTATGCTTCCCGACGCTATACTATACAATATGCTATACTATACAATGCCTTGCTACACTGTAGTATACTGAACTAAACTTTACTATACCATACTATACTATACACTATACTTTGCTGATAGCAATTCTAACACTATTAGCAATACTAACAAAATTGCACTATCTAATGGTATACAATACTACACTACACCTTACCAGACTGCACCGAAGGCAACGGCAATCCCTTGGTTTGGAAGCTGTCGGATTTCAACCTGGCGACGATCTATCAGAGGCGGGAATGCTTCACCGCTGGCTTTGGGTTCAGGGTTTAGGGGCCTGTTACTGTTACCACAGAAATTAAGCAGCCATGGGATTAAGCAGATTTCCGATTCATGTTGGAAGCATGGTCCGGGTATCTTACTGAAACGGCTCATAGTCATACCCTGTGGCATGCGAGCATCGAGTAGGCAAAGCCATCGAGCATGCTTCGCATCCTGAGAACGCAGGCATAGTCAGTTTGTTTCAGCTCTACAGTAGCAGTGCTCATCACGAAACCCCGAATTCAACGACTAGAACATACTCTGCTTGAAACCCTAAAGGCGCTAAGCCTTGAAAATTGTTTATAGTTCCTAGAAACTTACTGGAATGCCCTGTTCAGCAATACTCATGACCCTATGAAACTTTAACCTCAACCACAGAGTAATAGCCCTCTATATTAAGCCAATCAGGGCGCCCTGTTGATGTCCATTTCTGGTCTTCCTTGAGCTTTCAAGCGATTCAGACTTTCTGATTCAGGGGTTTATCGGTTGGGGTTCGAGAGGTTTGAGCTTTGGGTTCAGGGCTTTGCAGTGACGCATCGTTAGTTCGGTCGTTTGAAGAGCTGGAAACGCACGGTTGAACGTTATGTGTCATAGATGCTGCAGACACCATAAACTAAGAACCGTTGATGTTAAGTCAAACATGCAGGAGCCTTAAGACTCAACAAGAGTTCCGCTGTAGAGCCCTTACCTCACTTCCTCGCAGCAAATACACTGGAACATACTGCCGCATCCTCCGAATCCTCCGCCGAAGTGGTAGCATTGCTACATAATGTATTCCTCCACCTATTCCATTTCCTGAGGCCCCTATAACAGGGTCGATGCTCAAACATGACTATCTGAGGGTTAAAGCCATGCATCCTAAACCACAGTTCAAACGGTGCTCGCAGAAAAGGAATCGTTACAGTAACCCAACTATCGTTGAAGCCCTCTCCGGCTTGAAACTTACTTGGTATGACAGCTACCCTGGTTTAGGGTCTAGGGTTTAGTCGAAGATCCTGAACATTAAGTCCGAACGAAGAGGTCGAAGCCGTAACTCCCTTCACTTTCAAGCCCGCGTCCTAGCAAAGCCTGAGCCCGTAAACCCCAAGCCCGAAAGCGTAACAGCACTAAGCCCAAATCGGATCCCTAAGCCCGAAGCCAAAACCCCCATAGACCCAATTCCATAAACCCTAAACCCATTCAGAACATTTCCTGGAATCTTAAACCATACGTCCAATCCCACACTGCTTCTCGGCTTCCGAAATCTCTCGCGTTCTCAAGGGGAAAGCTTATGAGCTTGCGGTGTGGTTCTCCAGGCCGTGGTGAAGATTATGTGCGTCGGTTTCGGGTTTCAGGGTCTACAGTAGAAGCCGAAAAGTTGGAAACCCAATAGCCTCAATCCTTAAGAGCAGTATATAGGGAATCCCAGCACTATTTGGCCTTTATCCGGTTTCCAACTTTTGGGGTTTACTGTAGAGAGTTTAGGGTTCAGGGTCTAGCGTCGAACTTAGGTCGTAAGGCCTCCGGTTGGGTTATACGGTCTGAACTCTTCGCCATAACAGTAGCACTATGCCCATGTTCTCTTAGAATCGTTGAGTACTTATCTACCCAGAGACTCCAATACCCCTTAATTAAGGAATATTCCTTAAATCATATTAGGGATCTTATTGCAATTTAAGGTATATTCCTTAATTAAGGGGTATTGATTGGAGTCTCTGGATCTAGTTCACCCGAAACCCTAAACCCTAGACCCTAAACCCTAAACCCTAAACCCTAGACCCTAAACCCTAAACCCCAAACCCTAAACCCTAAACCCTAAACCCTAAACCCAAACTCTGCAACCTCTCCGGCCCCCGTGTCGCGGGAGTTTGGGGTATAAGGGGTCTGGACAAGTACTTGGAAGGGCAGGGGACTTAGTAAGGCAGGGTTCTTAAAGGGCTCCTTAAAGGGATCTATAGGGTTCCTTACAGGGATCTATGGGGTTTAGGGTTTAGGGACTTAGTAAGTCGGTTATACGTAGAGTCATAAGTACCCTAAATGGAGTTACCCCCAACTATAACCCTACTTATAACCTACTTACTAAGTCCCCTGCCCCTCCAAGTAGGACTGCTACCACTGTCGTAGCTAAGGCTTTCCCAAACATGTTTACGGCCACCCGGAAGCCTGAACATGAGGATTTGCAGTTCGGGGCTTTGGGATTAGGGTTACGACTTGAGGCGCTATGGGGTTAGGTTTGCAAGGCTACAGGTTAATTACGGACTCGTGGTGCTAGAGCTAATCGGCTCTTGGGGTTGGGGCTGGTGCCTAATAAAAGTTTCATGCAGTAGAGCTTCCCAAAATATGCATTATGGGGAATGTTAAGTGGGCCGTAATTGCAGTGGCCCTTGTTAGAATCTATCTCACTCCAATTGACAAGTTCGCGCCTGTGTCATGATAGTTACAGCGGGCACCGTACAGAGTAGATCCTTATTGCACATTGAGTTGTAAAGATTCAGGGTTGGGTGTTTAGGGTTTATAGGCCCGTAGGCTCCATCAGTTGTAAAGATTCAGGGTTGGGTGTTTAGGGTGTTTTGGGTTCGGTAAACCCTAAACCCGGAACCCGGGTGTTCGGGGTTCTGCGTATTCTTAGATAGAGCCCTTTGCGCACCTGAGAAGCATAATCTAGGGGCCTGCTGAATAGTCACCTTTTCCATGTTTGGGGGTTCCTTATTATATTCATGGTAACTATAGTGGGCCCCCAAAGCCTATTCTAGTTATTCGGGCTCCTATATTATACTCCCGAAACTGTTGACCCCAGGGTCCATGTGACCGAATGGCAAAGACTGTGGCTCCAAAGTACCTATATAGAGACTACTTTAGGGCCAAGGTGTATACTATTTGGGTACATGGACCCATAGGGTTGACCTACAACATCACTATCCTAAACCGAAGGATGTACTCATCAGAGGAAGTTAGGCAGAAGGAGCTTCCAGAATTTTTTGAATAGTTTACATTGCAGTGCTTTTTTGGTTAACCCAGTTTATGCTTAGCCCCCAAAACGGACTACAATGGAGACTATAGGTATAGGAGGAGTTACAGAGCCCAGATGTACGCAAAATCCCGGGACAGCCCATGCAGCAATGAGGAGCACTTTAGATGCTAGGACTTCTTGCTTGCAGGGTCGGGGTTTTTAGTAAGTAGGTAGTAAGTAGACTTATAAGTACCCTAAAAGCGACCCTAATTGGGGTTATAGTACTTATAAGTCCCTAAAATAACCAGTTACTAAGTCCTTTAAACCCTAAACCCTATACCCTTATAGAATCCCTATAGATCCCTTTAAAGGGGCCCTTAACCGGAACACCAGGGCTCCATGCAGCTTTAGAGCCCCACCTGAGAGACTGAGGTTCTAGGATTCGGGTTTAGGGTTTACTGGGACGGGCCAGTGGATGCCAAGAAAAAACGGAAGCCTTCTAATACCTGTCGGGGCCACCTAATCGCCAACCAGTACTTGGAAGGGCAGGGGACTTAGTAAGTAGGTTATAAGTAGAGTTATAAGTACCCTAAATGGAGTTAACCCAATTATAACCCTACTTGTAACCTACTTACTAAGTCCCCTGCCCCTCCAAGTAGCTGAGCGTGCGAAGGCTACATGGCCCCGGAGGTTGTCTGCAATTCGTGCCCCGGGCGCTGTTTTGCTGTTTCAAGCATAGCGACTTACGGAGTAGGAGGTTGTGGATTTGAGGTCCTAGACCCTGAGTTTGAGGTTGAATCGAAGGTTTCGGGGTTATTGCGGTGGGGAACCCCCGACCCGAAACCCGTAGCCGCCTACACCCCAAAACCCTTAAAGCCAGAACCCTCTGAACCTGAAGCCCTAAACCCGCTCCAAGATTTCCCGGAAACGTCAGGGCTTTTCAGGTGTTCAATAGGGGGGTCGGAATAGGTCGTAATGGTATCTGATTGGAGACCTTTCTGTGCAACTACAGTATTGTTGATTAGAGTCCTTGATACAACTATGCAAAACTATCGTATAGTTATGTATGATTATACCAGAACCTTATTCTGATTATGTATTGAAAGGGTTTACACTTTAGCATGCTCGGAAGAGAGCGCTCATTGTTTCTCGGCCTTTAACTTCTTTACAGTACCTTCAAGGGCTCCTTGGAGGGTTCTTGTGTTTTGTATTCAGGGTTTAGGGCTTCGAAACCTTGTATGATCCTACCATCGAGGGTTGAACTCGCGGAAGCTGGTGTAGACACCACTGACATCACACATCTTCAGTCTTCTGAGTAGGCGAAACAGGTTTGCCGATGTTGATGCTGCACCCACGGGGATCATCGCAAGGTCTTCAAAGCCCTAAACCCCTAAAGCCTCAAAGCCTAAACCCCTAATCCCCAAACCCCTAATCCCCAAACCCCTAATCCCCAAACCCCTAATCCCCAAACCCCTAATCCCCAAACCCCTAATCCCCAAACCCCTATAATCCCCAAACCCCTAATCCCCAAACCCCTAATCCCCAAACCCCTAATCCCTAAACCCCTATAATCCCCAAACCCCTAATCCCCAAACCCCTATAATCCCCAAACCCCTAATCCCCAAACCCCTGATCCCTAAACCCCTACACCCTAAAGCCTGCCTCTCCGAGCAGAACATTGAGATCTCCGAGTTCCGGAACCTCCAAGCCAGGGCTTTCGTTTCCTGAGGTTTTAGGGGTTCAGGGTTTAGGGGTTAGCGTTTAGGGTCTTCTAAATTCCTAAAGCTTTAATCCCCAAACACTCTATGTAACCCTAAAACCTAAAATCCTACACTCCAAGCTCTAAGCTCTAAAAGGGGCGAAGCCAGGAGCCTCCTTGATGAACCCTTCGAATTATCGGCCACCGCTTGAATTCCGGGTCCGAAGGTTAGAAGCATGGGCCCCTAATATGGGTGGTTGTCAAAATTATGGTCCCTAATATAGTACGGCACCTAATGTTTAGGGTATCCAAAAAGGGACCTTAATTTTGACAACCCCATATGGACCCTTGGACCTTTTTGAGGTAGTTCTGAGGACCCTGAAGAGTCTATATAGGGTATATAGTAGGTATAGAAGGATTCCAGGGTTAAGGGCCCATACTAGGGGCCCATGGTTTCAACCGTTGACAGGTACAGCTGCCTTTGTGACATCTGGAGTGTGGGTGCTATCTGCCACAAGATGGAGACTCGATCTTGAGTAAGAAGAGAGGAAGTACTGTTGATGATATAAATCCTGCATTGCCCGTAATAAGGAAGGAATATACCATAATTCCCATAGTTTAGGGTCCTTAAGGTAATGCAGGATTTATATCATCAACCTTAGTGATGCAATTCCCTGTAAGCTGCATCGGCACTATGGAGTAGGAATCTTCACAAATGCATCGATCGGCTCTAAGATTGTATAGTCGCATCCAGAGCCTTGCGATCTCAGCGGGAGGTGGGCACGCACGGCTGTTCAGGAAACGTCCTAGTGTCTGAATGGAAGTATTGGTAGCCCTGAAACCCAACTCCCACAAGCCGCGAATAGCATCTTAACACGTAGTTCCTACGTCCTAAACGCCTGTGTAGATCCCATGCAGCGTGGATGCTGTTGTGCACTACAGGCTAAGCACCTCTCCACTCTAGGGCCTACACAATACATCTAGGAGTTCCGAAAATAGGGGACCCCAAGATAGTACCCTAAATAGTAGGACCTTCGTTACAAGGACCCCAAAATAAGGTACCTCAAACTCAATCAGCAAAGTCCAAGCAAGCAGGGTTTGAGATATTTTAGATGTTGGGTCTAGAGTTACAGTTGTAGGGTTTTGGATTTCTGGTTCAAAGGTTTTTTGCCACATCTGACCACGAACCCACGGTCACCTGAGGCAGACAAGACGGGTTTAGCAGAGGGGGGTGAAGGGTATGGGGCAGAGGATTAGGGTGCAATTTGGAGCTGCTGAGTGATGGGTGACCGAGGCAACCGGCGAATATCTCTATACCTTCACCTCAGTGGAGGAATACTATGAGCAGGATCGCGTGCGTGCTGGATCTGAGGTCCTAGGTAATCCAACCCTGAAAACTTCAAGCCCCAAACCCCAGAACCCTAAAGGCCTAAACTCAGCCCGAAATCCTGAACCTTAAACCTTAAAGCTTGGAGACTTGTAAACCCCAAACTCGGCCCCACATCCTAAAGCTTAACAATTTAAGGCCCTGAAGTAGCACCGGAAATCAAAAAAAACCTACAGGGAAGGTAGCTGATACTGGGCCGCGGACCGTGACAATGAAACCTAAGTAGTTGTGAGTATTCTTTGTAAGGATTTATGGCTTGAGGTTTCAAGGCTCAGTTTGAAAAGGCTTTAGGATGTTTAGGGTTTTAGGGTTTCGGTTGTATAGTTGCAATTACAGTGTGTTACAAAATGTTATTCTTGCCGCAAGCCCTGCTCCAGTTATCAAGGGTCCTAAATAATAAACGTATACATATATACAGATACATATAGAAATGTTTAATATCTCCTTTTATAGATAAGTAGTCAAACAGATATAGATGTAAAGTTGGGCATACATGTATATGTACATACATACTTATGTTTGAAAACATATGTGTATATATATATACACACATACATATGCATGTAAGTATATATATATATATATATGTATACACATACATACATACATACATATATATATATATATATATATATATATAGATCATGTATGTATGTATGTATGTATGTATGTGTGCATGTATGCATGTATGTACGTATGCATGTATGTTTTGGGTCAGAGATGGAGACCTGGTCTTTTCGGAGTGTCGTCCTGAGGGGCTTTGTTTGCTGTCGAGGCTTTTGGGTTTAGGGTCTGGGGCCTCCAGGGTTCAGGGGTTGAGGACCGGAGGACGGTCAGGGTTTTGGGGTTAGGTTTAGGGGTTTAGGGTTTGGGGTTTAGGGTTTAGGGTTTAGGTTTCAGGATAAATGACATTAGCAAGAACCTTGGTCGAGGTAACTGAGGGTACATCGACCTGAGTTTCTCGACTTGTACTTTCAGGCTCAGCAATCAGGAGAAGCAAGTCAGAAGTAGGTTAACGCGGCTATAAGCCTTCCAGGCTAAGCTCCTCCAAGTACCTGAAAGCGCCCGGACACTACTATTAAGTCAACGTCGTCTTAAAACCCCAAATCCTAAGCTCTAAACCCTAGTCTATGGCAAAGCTCGTCGCGCTACTCTTCTGGCTGAGTCGCTCCGTGGTCTTTGCTTAGGAAGACCACGAGCACGCACCACGTGGGGGGTTGTCTAGATTCGGGACTTTAGTAGACGAGTGCTGTTGTACCCTTCTGGGCGACCATAACTTTGAGAATTGGGCCCCAAACCCCCGAAAACCCGACAACCCTATAAACCCCAGACCCTAAATCCCGGCAGGCCAAGGGAGGGGCATCCACGATGAAGCTCTCCGAGCAGAAGTGGAGCAATTTTAGTCCAAAGGCGCGGCGGAAATTCGCTGAGGTTTAGTAGTAGTAGTAGTAGTAGTAGTAGTAGTAGTAGTAGTAGTAGCAGTAGTAGTAGTAAGTAGTAGTAGTAGTAGAGTAGGTGAAAGGTTTAGGGTTTAGTTCAGTGGTTTAGCAGTTCAGAGTTCAGATATTCGCACAGGTTTACTTCGAAACCCTAGGCTCCCTGTACCTATATACAGTATATACTTAGGCCATCATATGGCTTCCTATAACGGTACTCTCAGACCTCAGTATATGCGATATAGGTATATGGAGGTTTGGGGGTTTAGGGTTCAGGGTTTAGGGTTTGGTGGTACTCTGATTCCCGCATCATCCCGAAGGTTCATATCATCCCAAAGAGTCACATTCCCAGAAACTCCAATATCCCTGATTTACGGAATATTCCTTAAATTATAGTAGGATCCCTAATATGATTTAAGGAATATTCTTTAAATTATAGTAGGATCCCTAATATGATGTAAGGAATATTCCTTAAATTATAGTAGGATCCCTAATCTGATTTAAGGAATATTCCTTAGTTAAGGGATATTGGAGTCTCTGGGTTTAGCTCCTCCAAGATACCGGACGACGAAGTTTAGGGTCATCTCAAACAAGCTAGATTCTTGAAGGGCTCAAACGGGCGGGTGTCAAAATTCTGGTCCCTCTTTGGGTACCCTAATACTAGGTGCCGTACTATATGAGGGACCCCAAAACGGACTATACTTTCGACAACCACCCACATAAAGAAGCAGAAACCCGAAACACGAAGAGGCTTTCGGGGTGCTTGAGGGTTAACGAAGAAGCCGGAATTATTTTCCTTTCAGTGTTTGACAAGATTTTGTGTAAGAGGGGCCAGGATGTGGGGAGTGGGGTCTAGAAAGAACTTATTCTATATGGGTTTGGGGTTCATTGTGTGGGGTGCCTGGAGGCTGCAGAATACTTGCCCTCACCTGTTCATGGGTTGCAACCAACGAGTGGACAAACTTCAGCGGCCCACAAAAGTAAGCCACAGACTGCGGGTCAGGAAAACCCAAAATGCTAGCTTTGAGTTATTGGGACCACTCACTGGGTCACCAAGCACGATGGGGTGTAGTGTAAGGGTTTAATGTATGAGTTTCAATATTTGCCAATATTGATTCTCAGGGCCCGTTTTGCATTTATAGTCTAAAGATACCCCAAACCCTCACGTACTACTCACGTTTCTCTTGAAAAATGGACGTCGAAAGTCTACGTGCTCTAAACCCTAAACCCTGAAGGCCTTGTCTTTCGTCAAGGAGCTGTTGCGCCACCTGCTGGTGAGGGATGGAATAGCTTCTTACAGTGGGGTCTGCCTGAAGATCCCGTGAGGTTTAGGGTTTAGGGGAGAAAAGTTTTAGGAACATCTTGCGCGACCCTAATATCGAGCACTTCAAGAATCAGCAGGGTTGTGGCATTTCTGTGTAGGAGCAGGTTCTTGAAATCTACACGCGGTTTACGCTTCAGGCAATGGAACATCCCGAACTCTGACAAGTGTAATAACTAGTACTTAGTACCTCATACCTCTAGCATCCTAAAGTTCTCATGGCCATGAACAAAACTAGAAAAAGCAATCGGTTTGGGGTCGGCGCTGATATAGCCGTAGAGGCACCCCTCTAAGCTCCTCAAGCCGAAAGCCCTAAACTCGGAAACCCTTAAGCACTACCTAATAGCTATAGTCTCCTTAGGAATTATTTTTGCATGTTTGTTCATCTAAAACCCAAGAGAAGGCCACAGGTGTCATTTTTGTAATGGCTCTAAGGGGGGTATAGAATAACATGTCCAGTATCATTCTTTTGGTCATATGGCGGTAGGAAGAATTAGCAATAGTTTGTTGCAACTCCTGTCAAAACTTTAGCAGAATACACACGAAAACCCTGTCCGAGTCATTAGCTTTGGACTCCTGAACTATACATGGGTGGTTGTCAAAACTAGGGTCCCTTTCTTGGTACCCTAAAAATATAGTACGGCACCGAAAATTTAGGGTACCCAAAAAGGGACCCTACTTTTGACAACCACCTACATACCTTTGAAACAACCCGATGATAGCGTCATTCAGCCACTGAAGATCCTCCAAAGGAACAGTGTTCCAATTATCCTAAGGACCCTTAGGGGGGTACCCAGAGACTCCAACACCCCTCAAATTAAGGAATATTCCTTAAACAATAGTCAATGGTAGTGTCCCTAATATGATTTTAGGAATATTCCTTAATTAAGGGATATTGGAGTCTCTGGGCAGGGGGTAGGGGTTTAGGGGGTCTGAACACCTATAATGAAGACCTACTAAGTCCTATTTAAGGAAGTATAGTCCCCTGCCCCCCCCCCCCCCCCTCTACCCCCCTAGGGGTCCCTACGAAATTATTTGGGCCCCAGCTGAACCTCAACACTCAAGCGTTCCCCTCTGCAATGTTGAAAGATCCTGAGACAAAACAGTATTTCAAGTTTTATTCGATAAGGCCTCTACAACATCAGCCCCTACAAAGCCCCACAAAACCATGCAGTATAGAACCCTTATATGTTCCCTTGTCGGAATCCTGTAATTATGCAAAAGAAGCATGCTCTTATCATCAATGCCGCCCTAAACCCCGAAACCCCTAAACCCTAAACCCCCAAACCCCCAAACCCCTAAACCCTAACCCCGAAACCCTAAGCCCTAAACCCTAACCCCGAAACCCTAAGCCCTAAACCCCTCAACCCTAAGTCTTCTCCCGAGCTGAGGTCCAGAGTCCGAAGCACGACCGACCGCGCTACAGGCACATCCCGAGGGTGCCGCTGAAAGGTAGGGTTTAGGGTTTAGGGTTTAGGGTTTTGGGTTTTGGGTTTAGGGTTTAGGGTTTAGGGTTTAGGGTTTAGGGTTTAGGGACCTTACTTAAAGGATCATGGGATTTAGTAAGGGTCCTTAAAGGGCTCTTCAAAGGGATCTATAGGGTTTCTTAAAGGGATCTATGGGGTTTAGGGCTTAAGGCCTACTTAAAGGATCATGGGACTTAGTAACTAGGATTATAATCAGGGTAACTATACTTATAACTACTTATAAGCCCAATTAAGGTACTTATAACCTTACTTACTAAGTAGGATTCTACCTATAGTCTCCCTTGTAGTAGGGCTCATTTAAAGGAACCTTTAAAGGAACCCTGCCTTAACCTACCAAACCCTACTTTTTTGTAGGTTCTTATTATGAACCCTAATATGAAGTTTATAGGGGCCCTACAAAAAAGTAGGGTTTGGTAGGTTAAGGTACCTATAGTCTCCATTGTAGTTCCTTTTTTCTGGTTAACCAGTTTTATGGCTAGGACCCTATAATAATAGTAGGGCTCATAATAGGAACCTACAAAAAAGTAGGGTTTGGTAGGTTAAGGTAGTGTTCCTTTGAAGGTTCCTTTAAATGATCCCCATGCTTGGAAGTTCCGTTAAATGAGCCCTATAAAAACAGAAGCAGCGTTTCGCATTGTGATGCGCGCAAGTTATTGTGAGGATCTGAGGCTGGATGTCATGAGGTGTCTCTTGGGCTTTCTGCATGCAGATCGGCTGACCGTTAAGGTCCGCGTCTATTTTCCAAATGCCACGGAATTTCGGTTTGTTGACGTTGTTGATCATCAGTATACCGTTGATGTTCACTGCTACAGGCAGCGTAGAAAGATAATCTTGAAGTCAGTTCATAGAGCAGTACAGACAGCATCGTCGCAAGAGAATCGCAACACTCACAGGAAGGCCTAAGAAAGCTACCTCCAGGTTTCCTTCATGGGATTTCCTTATAAACTTCCTTAAGAAGTTTAAAAGTTTACATGCAGTCATGCGGGTTCCGATAAACCCTAAACTCTATGCCCTGGTAGCCCTAAGCCCTAACCCTAAACGCTACGCTCCGTGAGGCCTAAACCCTAAACCTCAAAAGCCCTACACCCCATGAGCCCTGAACCCTGGGCCCGAAAAGCCCTACGCCCTGAGCCCAGTACAACCTAAACACCATAACTCGGATGCCCAGTAGTACCCTTATTCCCTTTTTGTAGTCCTAGGTTCCTTATAAAGTTACCCAATACCAAAAAGAGAGGCCGTTTTATTCTTAGGTTACTGGGTATCCTAGATAAGACCCCAAACTCTAGATCTGATTGCGAAACTCCTGGTTCGTATAACCAACATCCGGTAGGATCCTTATCAAGAACCCGAGACAGAACAAGGGCTCTCCCTATCAGGTTCCTGCATACACACAGGGTCCACATGCTCATAAGATGCGAATAAGTACATAATCAAAGCTAGATAAACATACAAAGACAATAGATAATTAAATAAGTACCATGATTATTAAATGTCATGTGTAATATGTAGATAGAGATACACACACACATATATATATATATATATATATATATTACGTAATTGTATGCATGTTTGTATGTATGCATGTGCGCATATATGCATGTATGGATGTATGCATGTATCTATGTGTGTATGTATGTATGTATGCATGTATGTACATATGTATATACATCTGCATCTATTTGTGTACATACACACATAGGCCTACATGTCCTATTACAATTGCGGTTTGAGAACCCTTGAGAATGCCAATGTATTTACTAAGTACAGGTACATGGACCCTCAAGGATAGTTAAGAAAGACATGCTTCAAACCCTACTTGCCAGGCCATCGGCAATGAGTGGCTCAGAAAAAACGGAGATCCCTCTGCATCTGCTGGATGCTGCACGGCAGCTTAGCTCAAGTTGGGTGTGCACACACACACACAGACATCCGCGCGCACACACACACACACAGACACACAGACACACACTGAACCTGCGAACCGTTATATGGGGTCAGATAGGTTTGTGTTTGTCAAAGGGCTCCCATCGTTGAGATCCTGTTACAGGGTCTGTGGATGATGATGACGACGATGGTGATGATGATGGCGAGATGTGGATCCCCACCACGATGCTGTCGCTGATGGGATTTAAAGGATGCGGGATCTGATTGCTTATGTAGGAACCTCGACGTTCCTTCTGTAGGCCACAATTGTTGTAACGGGTAAACCCTAAACCCTCGCAGAGAGCAGAAGAACCCTGAATCACGGAATGTACCTTGAATCATGACAAGGAATGCGTTCCACCTTCGTGAAACATGTTCGTACTACTAAACTATCACTCTTCGTACGGTTGTTTTCTGACTACTAGTATTATGCTGTCTCATTTTACTGCTATTGTTGTTAGTAGTATTACTCTTATGACTAGTATGCATAAGTCTTGTTTTCTTCTTATCATTGTTGATGTTGCTACAATCATCATTACTCATTATCCTCCTCCGCCTCCTCCTCCTGCTGATAGTCCTGCTGCTGCTGCTGCTCCTCCTGCTGCTTCTGCTGCTAAAGTACCATTACTTGTATTCAAGGTAGTTCTTGCGGACGGGGTAGGCTCTCGCGGCTCAATCCTCAAACCTATTTAAATGATCATGGGACGTAGTAACTAGGGTTTAGGGTTTACGGGTTGAGTAAGCACCCTTATTGAGATCCTTGTAGCACATGTGATATAGACGTCCCGAAGCCCTGGTTTAGTTGTTCAGGCGCCTATAACTACAGTGCGGGAGATCTGCCCCCGCCAAGTTGAGCCAACCGCAGCGGCAATGACTCTGGTTGAGTTCGGGCCCGATTTCGAAAATTCAATTGTTCGGTATGTCCGTGCACGTATGTATGTATATGTATACACATACATATTTGTTAATAATATTTATGTTTATATTTGTTTTTTGTTTCTGTCTATATGTACACACATACATACATGCATACATACATATGTACATACATACATTTATACATCATACATACATACATACCTACCTACATACATATATAAAAATACATACACACACATATATAGTAGAAAACGCGACGCTTTGACAGGTGGGAGGTAGGATCGCTTTATCGAAGGAATGTTGTTTTCCTTGCCTACTCTCCCACATAAAAGCCCCAACACAGCCATCGCAATTACCTTTCCTTGATTGAAAACCGTAGAAAAACGTGAAAAGCTTATGAACAGCCATACAAAGCACCATAAAACCCGTATGATCCTCCTAAAGAAGAACCATCAGCTCTTATGCCGGGCCTGGTCTGCCCTTTCCAAAAACCCTGTGTTCCCCCTGCTGAGGTCCTTTGAGTCAATCAAAGTCGCGGCAGCGAAGATGGTGAAAGCAGAAATTACTAATGCCAAGGTCCCATATGTTTTTGTTGGGTTTATAGCGTACAAAAGGTTTTGCGAGGGGTTCAGGGGTGAAGCAATAACAGAGGGTTCATCACCCCTTGAGGCACGTTTGAGGTTGTACAAACATCTTCGTTTTTTTGGCTCTTGGGCATAGTTTCGAAGCAATTTGAAAGCCCAATACTTCAGCTAATAAACTTTGTGTCGTTGTGGAAACCAAACCCTAAACCCTAAAAGCCGAAAGCCCGGAACCCTAAAACCGTAAACCCGAAACCCTGAACCCAAACTTAGGGTGGTGCGGGGTTGGGGTTTGGGGTTATGTCATTGGGTTCTGAGGAAGTAAGTGATAGAAAGTTATCTGCATGCCATTTCCTCGAGAACCATATCAACCGCAGAGAGGTTTATGGTTCATATCCTGTCACGTTTGTAGTAAGAGATCTAGAGCCCCATGCCTTTTGACCCGAATATGGTACCCTAAATAGTAGGATCCTTATTATACGGAACCGAAAATACTGTACCCCTTATGTTGGGAAACTTCCACATTCCTTTTTGAAGGTTATTTGGCCCTTGAGGTCGGGTGTGTTCCTACTTGCAGTTTGACGCGAAACCTACTCAGCAGGTCCCGCAGGCCTCTCCGTGTTCAGAAACTCCAGTATCCCTTAGGCATCCTACTACAATTTAAGGTATACTCCTTAATTAAGGTATTTAGGGATATTGGAGACTCCGTGTAGTTTTTCTTCCTTCAGTCACCACTTTTTTAGATAAGGGCAGGCAGCCGAAAACAACAATCCGGGACCCTAGCCCAAACGTGTCTCCGCCTGTTAGGCGTAGATATTTCAAGTAGGCCACTGAGATATTTTCCTAGACTGGGTTTGGTTATGTTTGGTTTAAGGGGCGTGAGGCTTGAAGGGGCCAGCCAGATCACCTAGCCGTTTCAAACTTCAATGACAGCCGTGAGCAGAAACCCTAAATTGTAACGGAATCTCGGGCTCCTGCAGTAATGATTAGAATAGGGTTTCGGAGTCCGTTGTACTGTAGCTTTAATTTAAGCGATTAAGTGTGAATAAGAACTTCGAGGGAATACTATCAACAACTATTCAGGCTTCCGCATTGGGACCTTGTGCATAGATAGCGCGTGCTTTTTTCCGGAGACTTCGGCCGACGCTTGGTTGGACTGGACGTCGAGGGTTTCCTAAGCTTATGGTTCAGTTTAGCTGTATAGGTTGAGGCTCATTAGTACTGTTCTTATTACTATTATTATGATTATTACTATTATTACTATTTGTACTATAATTACTAATAATCTATACAGTATAGGCGTTCTAAGTGGTTTCCTGGTCACAAGGGAACCTTTAACTCGCTGTCGGCTTTAGGGTTGAGGATTGGGGCTTAGGGGTTCGGGCGTTTAGGGTCAAGAGAACCTGGAAATGAAGTTAAAAGTATTCGACGTTCGGCCGCCGTTGAGCTCCTGAGACACGTCGGGGAGGATGTCGGCGAGTTGAGCAAGAACTGCCTGGCCTTTCATATGCGCGCAATCCCCCATACGCCTCTAGGAAGTAGCTACAACAAGTCCTCGACCATCCTACACCCGAACCCTCAGCCCTCAGCCTTCAACGAAAGTTAGCTGTGCTCGTGGTCCCAACGGCACCATAGCAGTTCGACGAGTGGGAAGACGAAGGTCGAGAGATGATTCCTACGTGAAGCAAGGACGCAAGGACGGTAGTCTGGGGTCAGGGTTTAGGGTTTGAGAGGGCTGAGGGTTTAGGATTTAGGCGGATTTCCTAAAGCCTAGCATAGAAGCCAGCATAGTTGCCAATGCTACTAATGCTACTCTCAGTTCCTGAACATAGCTAGTTACACTATACCCCACAAGCTTTTTCCGCTAATGAAGGCCCCTTATGTAGGACGTCTTGATGGAACCCCAAGGGTCCAAAGGACCCAATAATCAGGTACTCGGTTTTAGGTTAGTAGTTATGTAGGTTAGGATTTCGGAGAGTATATGATTCTTGGGTACTTGGACCCTTGGGGGAAGGTGTTCCATCACATTTTCCACGGATTGCTTCCAAGAGATTTCAGGTCAGGTCTTCCCATGTTCCATTGATGTAAAGCCTAAACCCTCAACCTGTGCTTGCTCCAAACCCTAAACCCAAATATAGGGGCCTTAATAAGTACCTATACTATTTTGGGGTTCCTCATTATAAGTATAGTATAACGGCCCCCCAATGGCTATTCAAATTATTAAGGCCCCTATCTTGTAAGCCCAAGCTCCGCAGCATCGTCGCTCCTCGACTGCGGGTCTTTCAGAGAAGTGCCTACCATCAAAGTGATGGAGGCTCTGCCAAGGCTGACGAAACTGGCCTGGATTGGGATACGGGTTTCTGCAAGGGTGGTAGGGATTTGGACGACTATAGGGTGTGGGTTTTTAATACAGGGTTCAGGATTTTAGGGTTTAGAAGCTCGCGGTTTGGGCTTAGGGTTTCGGGTGCTTACAAGGCTTTCTGCGTGAGGTCCTATGAGGATGTCTATAAGGGTCTCCTCTGCTCATGTGCTCTTTGTGCTCGCACTGCTGCCATCATCCTCCAGTTCTACGATCTACAGAACACAACCTTAGCGGTTCGTTGCAGTGGTCTCCATGTGATGCCTACGTTCCTGAAAACAGCGGGGAGGTTTTGTTTACGCTTTGCAGGCTGCCCTGAACTCTATCGGCCCCTAAGCCCTTAAATGAAACCCGAAACTCAAGACCCTGAAACCTTGCAGGCTGCCCTGAACCCTGGGCCCTAAGCCCTTAAGTGAAACCCGAAGCTCAAGACCCTGAAACCCGGAGTCCCATAATCCAGAGACTCCAATATCCCTTAATTAAGGAATATTCCTTAAATCATATTAGGGATCCTACTAGAATTTAAGGTATATTCCGTAATTTAAGGGATATTGGAGTCTCTGGGAACCTCAAAGCCCTAAAGCCTCGAAGCCTAAGCCTGAAGATCCCCTTTCAAGCCCTGTTGAACCTATGAAAACAAAGCTCAACACTACAATCTTTGCGCATGCCTACAATGTAGAAGCCTAAACCATTAGTTACTAATTAATATTATTCCTGAGGGTTCCTTATTATAGCTATAACTAGAGAGGAGTAACCCTTATAGACCCCTTCAAAAGGAACCCTATTCCAATTAGATACACCCCTACTTGGAAGGGCAGGGGCCTTAGTAAGTAGGTTACAAGTAGGGTTGTCATTGGGGTAACTCCATTTAGGGTACTTAAAACTCTACTTATAACCTACTTACTAAGTCCTCTGCCCTTCCAAGCACGTTCTGTTAAGCCCCACAAGACCTGGTGTCTGATGGAGCTAAAACAGTGTTAGAACTTAGGGTTTAGGGTTTACCCATAGGCCCCAAAGTAGTTCCTTTTTGGGATTACCTTATTGGATTCTATATACGAACCCCAAAAAGGAACTACTTTGGGGCCGTAGGGTAGGGTTTAGGGCCGTTTGGGGTTTAGGAGCAAAGTCCGTGTAGTCTTTTGTTGAGGTTTGTTTCCGAGCGTCGGAGCCCCTAAGACTCCAATCGAGCTTGGGGTTGTGGGGTCCACGGTTTTGGGGTGTATATAATTGGAACAGGGTTCCTTTTAAAGGGGTCTATAAGGGTTGCTAGAAGGGATCTATATAGGGTACTCTCATGCTTAGAGTGCTTGGAGCTATGGTGTGGGATTTTGGTTTCGTTCTCACATTCTGGGATTTAGAGGGTTTTGGAGTATCAGGACCTTCAAGGCAGCTGGCAAGGATTCCAGCACCAGTTCCAAAGCCTGGCTCGTGTTAGTGGCAAAGATTTTGCTTTCGGAGATATCCATACATCGGCATCCTTCCTGCAAAGGTAAGCTCAACCAAAGCCAATCCTTGCGATGTGCAACATGCAGATCAGGGTTGTAGGGAGTTCTCTCGTGGATTATACCTGTAGGCCGGGTTCATTTGAAGACGAGTCCTAGCGACAGGAAGCTGGCCGATCAAAGTCCTTGGAACAAGGCTTTGTCGTATGCATTTCTCCTTGCTATTTGCATAGATGGTCACACCTCCAGCAACTGGAGCCTGATTACTGGCTCCTGAATCCATCCCCCTGTCCTGCATTGGCCCTTGAGCCTGTCTCTCTTGCGCGGCTAATAATAAGATACGCAATGCAGTAACTCAAAATGATAAACCCTTAACCTGCAACCAAACCCCGAACCCTGTACCGTGCATCTCAAACAAAACCCCAGACCGTTCAAACCCAATGCACACGTCATGCCTTTGGCATGGGGGGGCTTGACACATGACAGGTTCACCTGAGACGGTTCACTTGTAGGCCGGGGGAATCACTGGCGCCATGGTGCCCAAACTCCCAAACCACCATTGCCGTTCACTGCCAAAGGCAAAGGCAATGGTGGCGGTGGTGAGGCATCCTCACCCCAAATCGTTGAGCGCAGAAGCCAAAAGTTGAACAGTGCTGCAACAATTTTAGAAGCCCAGATTGAGACACAGTCCTGCAAACCAGACCCCAAGTGTGATCCTGACACGAACCGCAAGCCGTAAAAGCCAACACCCTGAACCGCAGCAAGAGTGGCAAAGCATGACCAACACGATGTCAAAAGCTGTTCTTGCTAGGGTTTGGAGTTCAGGGTGTAGGTTATTGGGCTACGGGTTTGGGGTCAAGAGTTTAGGGCCTCAGCATTTCGTGTTGCAGAAGAGCATCCCATAATTGCAGAACGCCCTCGCCAGACCTTTCATGCTCTCCGTGCTTGGCCCGGGGTCACACCTGTTGATGGACTGATATACTTCTTTCTGCAGTACAGTATGTACCCCGAATTGTGAGAGCGCTTTAGAACATGAGGGCCTCCCAGACAAGAACACAAGCTAGTAGAACAAGAACCACTTACAAAAGCTCTTCTAAGAAACCTCTACCGCCTCCCAAAACCATGTATACAACCCTATA